GCCGGCCCCGCCCCCGTTCCCGGTTCCCGCTGGCGGTACCTTCGGGCCGGTACTGCGCGACGATGGTCACCGTCTGCCCCGCCCGCTTCAGCGCCGCCGCCGCCTGCTCGTGGGTGGCGTTGCGGAGGTTCACGCCGTTCACCTGCCGGGACAGAGCGGCTCCGCTGGACCGGACTGACCGGGGCTCGCACCCACCGGGTCTGCCCTGCGCCCCGGCCCTCGGCACCGCTGCCCCTGTCCCTGTCCCGGTACTCGCGGTGCCCACACTCTCAACCCCACATCACCCAGCCCGTGTGCCCCCCAGTACCACAGCTGCTACCGACACCCCCAGTACCGGCATCCCCAGTACCCGCCCCCGGCCGGCCCGGTCATCGGGGGTGCCCTCCGCCGGCAGGCGGGCAAGGACCCGGCCGGCCCCTGCTCCACTGCAGGATAGATACCGGGCAGGCTGCTTCTCTGATTTTACGCACCCCGGGGCCACGTCCACGCCGGCACTGGGGTTGGACCCTGCCAACCGTGTCCCGGGTGGCAGGGGACAGGTGTCCTGTGGGCGCCTGCCCGGGGCTGTGGGAGGCCGTGGAGGGACAGCGGGAGGCCCCGCCGACTCACCGAGAGGATGCGGTCTCCCCTCCGCAGCTCACCGCTGAGGTCAGCAGGGCCTCCAGCCAGGATGAAGGACACGAAGATCCCCTCGCCATCTTCCCCTCCAACGATGTTGAAGCCCAGGCCGGTGGAGCCTTTGTGCAGGATGATTTTCCGGGGCTCCCTGGAAGGACAGACACAGGACAGGGAGACATCAGGGTGAAGAGCAGCGAAGCTGATGACAGGGTCGGCTGTGCCTGGGCTTCCTGGCACACCGGCAGGGCTGGAGTCACCCCAAGTGCGACCTGGCGTGACTCAGCCCTCTGCCACCAAGGACGCTGATAAAACGGGAGAGGTGCAGGCAGTTGCATGAGTAATGAGACAGAGCACGGATGGAGACAGAGCATCTGCCATGAAATCACGCACCGAAACATCAGACTGTGAGGCGCCATCAGATGCCACAAGCCTGGGCATCAAGGATGGCATGGCCGTGCCAGGAGAGGGAGATCCAGCCCCTCTGCACCCGTGCAGCATGGCAAGTGTGCCTGCAACTCCACGCACCCCCATGCCACAGGCCCTGCACAGCTCAACAGAAGTCCTAAATTTTTTGATGATGACTTAATTCTTTCACAGCTCAAACAATAGGCAGGCAAAGGCAGAAAGACTGCCTAGCATTGCAAAAATCCTTGCATCAGTTTTCATCTGGAAAAAAAAATGAAGTCTGATGGGAATAAGAGCAGCTCCCAGCTCAAGCACTGGATTAAAATAAGAAGGAATAAACGACGCCAGACAATTAGCACAGGCTGGCGGTGATTGTCAGCCCACATGACACTGTGGACCATCAATGTATCCGCTGTGGTGACCGGCTGGATCCTGGGTGCTCCAGCAGGTACTGCAATGACCGAGGACCTGCCAGTGAGCTCAGCAGCCTGATCAACCCTGCGCCTGCCGGTGAGCAGAGGGAGATCTCCGGGGCGCAGTAGGAGAGATGCTGGAGCCCCAGACATGGCACTGTCCGAGAGCACCCATGGTGGACCCTAAAACACCAGCAGACTTCTGCTAAGAGGACCCTGGGGCACCGGGGGGGGGGCTGGGCCAGCTGGCCCCCCCGGCTGCCAGCGACAGCGGGGGAAGGAGTGGGGCTCATGTGGCATGAGTGGAGCAGGGACCCAGGGGAATAAAGTTTGGCCGAGCAGTCAGCACAAAGCCCTGCAGCCTGGCAGCGTGCTCCCAGGCCACTCTCGCAAGAAAACATCTTATTCAGCCCCCAGGGCCTGCCTGGAGCATCACAGCCATCACCTGGGCGGATGGGGGAAGGTTTTGATGCTTTCACAGATGCAGGCGGCAGGATTTACCTCCAGGGACACGTGCCAGCACCCCAGGAAAAGTGTCCCACCATCCTTTCCTGTGGGGGAGTCCTGATGGGCTGAATGTCACTTAGCTTCAGGCAACCACCTTATAAGGAGCAATAGGAACAGGAGATGGACAGACAGAAGTGCAGGATGCCTTGCAAGAAGGTCTTGGTGGGCTCCTGCCCTGTCCAGACCCTGGGCTCAGCACAGCCTGACCCTCCCGGCTCTCCCAACTGCTCCTCTCCCTGTCCCCATGCCTCCCACTAGGCACAGCAGCATCCCAGTCCCCTACCTCTGGTCACACTTGCTCCTCTGGCCTCGCTGCTGCCTGGAAGGGGACAGGGACGGCTGTCCCCTGTAGGACATGGACGATGAGACATTGACGGTGAACATTGTGGCATGGCAGGCTCTGCTGGCAGTGCTGGCTGGGAGGCGTGAGGGGCAGGAATGTTCTGAATGCATCGCACCACAGCCCGCCTGTGCTGCCTGTCTTTGCCTCTTGCTGGCTTCAGGGCCCAGCCTCCCTGACCCACACACAGGTGTTTTTTTTTATAGAAGCACTGAAAGGACACAGCCTTTGCTCTGCTAGACCCTACAGACTTAACTCCTTCCTGCCCCTGGAGGCATGGACAGCATGGCCCCGACTGAGGGGAGAACCCAAGCAAGGACAAATTCGCGGCCCAGCTCCCCACGCCTGCAGCTCCACACACATCATGCATTGCCACAGCCCCTTGCCTTCAGATGCAGAGGTACAGCAGAGTCATAACTCCAGCTATGCATTTCTGATGGGCCAGAGGCTGAATCTACCTTGTGACCTTCAGAAAATACCTGCTTTATCCTTATGGCCTTTGGATACATTTGAGCTTTGAGCTAAGCAGAGCTCAGGACTTGGCTGGACCATAGTGCAGGGCTGGGATGCACCAGGACCAGGAAGAGGCCGGGGAAACACCATGGAAATGCCATTGGGGTCAAAAAAGGCTCAACCCCAAGTCCTCAGATTGCCACCAGCGCTTGGCTCTGGGGTGGCTGTGAGGGGGCTGGGAGGGCTGCAGCCATCAGTCCCTCTGCAGCAAAGCTATGCCTGGGGCTAGAGCTTTCCCAGGGGAAGAAATAGGTCAGACTTCTGGGTCTGCAAACCCTACCTCCAACCAGCTGATGAACTTGCTCTGCCCCTTGCATTTTGCTGCTGCCCAAGCAAAGTGCAGCAATGACCACCCCAGCTTGGCCTGGGGGAAGCATCCCCAGCATTCATGAGGACCAGATGGTTTGGTGAAAGGTAGAGAGACGCTACAGGAACCAAGGAGAGGATATGAAGCCCCAGACAGTTACATTTCAGGTCTCAGTTATAACACGCACTCTCCACTTCCATCCTCATCCCAGGAGGCAGGACATAGATCCTGAAGGCAGATCCCACGCTGGACGTTGCAGGCTTAACACTGGGATATTGGCACAGAGTGACTGCAGGGATCCTGTGGGGCTGTGCCAGGTCTGGGTTGCAGTGGTGGAGCTCATTGGAAAACAGATGCTCTGGTCCCCAGCCCTAGGTGCTGCGGGACATGAGGGTCACTGGAGCCAGGTCCACATCTGCAGCAGCACTTGTGGCCACAGAAGGGGAAGTGGCATGATACTGGGTCCAGGCCAGGACCTCTGCTTCTCCTGGGGAACGGCTGGCAGGAGCCTCCTGGGAGACAGCTGCTTTTTCAGGGGAGTCGCTGCCTTTCCCACACCAGCAAGATGCATTTGGACCACACTGGTCCTAGTATACAATCTTGGTGATGCACAAGCCAAAAGATCCACAGCGATGAAGCCGTCCTGGGGGGGTCGGTGATCCACATGAGGTTTTCAGTGCTGCCCTGGGATGGATGAGGGAGGTGCTGAGCCCACCTCAGACTGTGAATCTGGTGGGGAGCAGGGAGCTGTGGCTGAGAGGGGCCAGCCTGCCTGCAGCGGGGCCCTCCGCAAGGCAGCACCATCCTCTAGCGGCCACCAGCACGTGCTGCACCAGGGCCACTGCCAAGTCACCGCCGAGCCATCGCCGTGCCACGGTCACTGGGCTGTGTCCAGCCTGGGCTGGGCTGCTCTCTCTACTCTCTGGCCCTCAAATGAGGACGTTGGTGCATGTAGGAAAGGACACCGTGGTGGGACCGGAGTCCCTGGTGAGAGGCAGATGGAGCGTTTCCGAGCGCTGGGACTCAGTCCCTTCTGTGGTGCAATGTAATGGCAGAAAGCACTACTCCTGCGTGTGGCATTATCTCCCAGTGCCCTGACAGCACAGGAGTTGCTACACCTGGATCGGGCAGAGGCCAGTGCTGCACAGGTCATGGTGTGCCGAGGCACCTGGCTGTGGCCAAGCACCAGGAAGCAAGAAATCCCCGTGACGAAGGTGAGTGCAGCCACTCTCCAGGAGGACAGCGGACCTGATGCCGGATGGCAAGTCAGGGTCTCCTGCTCTGGCATCTGCCAGCACCCTGCAGAACAGGACAATTCCAGCCAAGGCTATGGCATCTTCCACTGCAAACACAACCCCGAAATCAGCCTGTGACCTTCCTCCTAACCACAGAGCCAGCACTAAGCCTAACCCGAGTATCAGTCCTAAGAATACAGCCTGAGCCCTACAGCCCTGGCCCTGCGGATACTAAACCCATTGCAGGCTCAGCACTGGCCCTGAGGCTTTGCAAGCAGAGGGAAAGCTGTGAGCTCAGGCAAGCAGAGCAGGACCAACCAGGTTTCGCTCTCCCATCCTCAGCATGAGGCTTTGGAGAAGTTTTACACTGCGTTCAGGCTCAGAGCATCTCATTTGCGCTCCTCTTTATTTCCTGGGTTCAGGAAAGAAACCTGCTCATGCAGCATAAATGATGCTAGTGGGGAAAAGGGGGCCGTGCAGGAGGCTGTCAAGCCCAGGGCTGGCAGCCGCTGAAATGACACCTGTGTGCAGGTGGTTCGTGATGCCAGGCTTGGGGAGTGTGGGAGGAGAAGCCCCGCTTGTACCCAGAGCTGTGCCCCCCCGCCTCACTCCCAGCACAGCTCTGCTCGGGATCAGCCAGCTCACAGCCTGGGAGGCTGTGGCAGTGCTGGCACCAGATGGCACCGTAAAGGCAGGGAACACCTTGTATTCCAGGTATTGTAAAACAGGTAAGAGAACAAAGCAAGGCTCAGGGAGGAGCAGGAGGGAGAACAGGGAAGGGGGGGATGCAGCGAGCCAGGGAGCGACACAGCAGGGCTGGTCTCAGGTGGGGGTGAGCAGGGAGCTCACTGTGGGGGCCCCAGGCTTTGCACCATACACCCACAAACGGGCTTTTGGCCGAGGCTCTGCACTGGCAGCGGGGATGAGGTCAAGCAGCCAGGGATGGAAAGAGAGGGAAGGAGAAGGAGCAGGGATTAAGGATGCTCATGCCTGGTACTCACCTGGTGAAGTCCTCGTCCCCAAGCATGTGCCGAGGGATGGGCGAGTACCGCGATGGAGTCACCTGGGGAGCGACGGAGTAGGCAGGCTTGCTCTCAACACTGCCCAGGTAGCCCAGACTGGAGTTATGGCTTATGTGGTTGTCAGCCAAGGCTGAGAAGGCTGCAGGAGAGGAGAAGGGTATCAGGAGCAGAAATCCATTTGCAACATGGACGTGGAGACCAGCCCAGCATTGCCGGCCGCCCCAGCACGCTCCGTTCCCCCCAGCCCTGTGGTGCGGGCTGCTACGCCTGTGGCCGGCGGCGTACGTACTGCTGGCGTAGTCGGGGGGCGCGTACATGTCGTTGAGGTGGATGTTGCCGGGCTTGGCCACTTTCAGGTACACCATGTCAGAGGTGTTCTTCAGGGCTGCCACTGCCTCCTCGTGCCGCACGTCCTGCAGGTTTGTGTTATTCACCTGCCGGAGGGAAGGGGCTGGGTAATATGTCTGCAGGCAGGAGGGCAGAGGCCAATGCAGCCCTGCAGGAGCGGAGCAGTTTCCTGCAGGGCAGGTGCTGCAGAAGCTCTGCAGACAGGGTCCCATCTCCATGGGTTTGGCCCTCCCGCCTGCAGCTGGTGCTGCGCCTGTCCCTGCCACAGCACTGTCCCAGAGGGGACCCCAGGGAAGGGGCATGGGGCTGCCAGCAGGAGGGGTGCTGGGGTTCAGGATCGGCACCGCAGCATGGTGGAGACTGCCCAGCTTCACCTCACAGCCAGCTGTGGGCATGGGGCTTACCGCGAGCAGCCGGTCCCCGATCTGCAGGCGTCCGTCCTTCTGGGCAGCACCTCCCTCGATGATCTTGGTGATGTAGATGCTGTTGTCCCCGGGGATGTGCTGGTTCCCGATGCCCCCTGCGATGCTGAACCCCAGGCCTGAGGGGGAGTGAGAGCACAGGTGAGGGGTGAGGGACAGACAGATGGATGGAGCCCCAGGCTGGCAACACAGTCCCTCTGCCTCACTGGGCTTCCCACCCTGCCCCAAACCTGGCAGGCAATGGGCTACCCCACTGCTGTGCAGGGACAGCCCAGCCACCGCGCACGGCACCGTGGGGCTCTCCGACACCCTGTGCCCCATAGCATCCCATGCTGCTGGGCCACTTTGCAGCATTCTGCACCATGGCAGTGCCAACTTGCATCTCACATCCCCATGATGCTGCCATGCACCCTGTGGCATCCCACACTGAGGGGTCACCCCACACCCTCCCGTGGGGCAGCGGGGCACCCCGGTCCTGCAATCAGAGTGAAGGGTTCACCTTTGGGGCCCTTCATCAGGTTGACCTCCATGATGGTCTCTGGCGGGGGCTGCCGGCGGCGCACCACAAGCCGCACCACGGGGCCCGCTTCCTTCAGGGCCTCCACAGCTTTGCTGTGCACCACCTCGGAGACGTCCACGTCGTTCACCCGCAGCACGCAGTCATTCACCCTGTGGGCACAGGGTGGCCCTGAGCTCCCCTCGGAAATCACCAGCTTGTACCACCCTCCTCTGGACACCTCTGCCACCCTCCTCCAGCCACGCGGACCCTTGTGTGAAGGAAAGCTGCTCAAGCTGGCCAGATCCTGCCCTGCTAGGGTGAGAGCAGGGTCCCTTCTGAAGAGAGAGGCAGTGGGGTTGGTCCCCACGGTGTGAACCTGGTGGAAATGGGAGATGAGGGGAAAGGGTGGATTGTGCCCCAGGCTGCAGGCGGAAGCATGGGAGCTGGAGCCTGGCATAGGGAAGGGAGGAGGGGTGGCTGCAGACAGGAGGCTGGTGGCTGGGGACCGTGGGCATCCCTGCATTGAGGGGACCTGGCTGGGGGGAAGGGACCAGGGAGGGCCAGGGACCATGGCAGGGTAGGGGGGCAGGAGCTGCCTAGTGGGTCCCTGGGGAGATTCTGGGTAACACCCTGATGGGGCTGCTGCCCTGGCTGGGTACTCACCCCAGACGGCCATCCATGGCTGCTGCTCCCCCAGGGATGATTTTGGTGATGAAGATACCCGGGTCATCTGGAATGTGGGGGTTGTCGATTCCTCCTGCTATACTGAAGCCAAGGCCGGAGTTACCCTGCAGAAAATCAAACACTGCGTCTTTCCCCCATGGGCAACCACTTGCTGCCGGACCTCCCGAAGCAGTTCCCCCTCTAGCCACGGCTGCCCAGGGCGTGGGAGCCCTTACAGCATCTGTTGCACCCCAGGGTGCCCGGCTCAGGGGGCAGAAGGATGCATGGCCAGAGAGGAGGCCAGTGCTCATCAGCCGAGGCGCTCGGTGCAGCAGCGCAGAGCACCGAACAGATGGAGCGGGAGAGTGGGAGCTGCTGAGGACCTCCCTTGCCGCCGCGTCTGCACCGAGAGACTCTGAGGCAGGCGGCAAGCTGGAGGAATAGGGGGTGGTCCTTGGTGGAGAAAACCTCCCCTTGCTGGCTGCTCCCCAGGAGGAGACACTGATGCTGCAGCCCGCACAGAACAGCCAGTCTTGTGCCAGTCACTAGCATCCCACCCCTGCCCCCTGGGATGCAGCCCCCAGCAAGGAGCCAAGCCAGGGACCAGCAGTGCTGATGCCAAAATTTGCAGGATTGGGTGGAGGGGACTGTCATAATGGAGCAGGGTATCCAGTTCTGCCTCCTCTTCCTCCCAGACATGCTTTGAGCGTCACTTGAGCTTCATCCTGCTGAAGTCTACTCGGGGGAAATGCAGGGGCTGTGCCACATCTCCAGCTCCATCTCGGCAGCATCCCAGGATGAGCAGCCGTGGCCCTGCACCGCCTCTCCTGCTTGCAGGATCCCCATTAGTGGCACACTCACAGGTGCTGCTTCCAGCTCCGTGCTTGATGCAAGTGGACAATTCCTGCTTTTTCTGCTCTGCCTTGAAAATCAGATGGCTCCTTGCCTTGTTTTCTCATGCGGAAGAGCTGACACTTAGTCACATCCTATTGTGCCCGCCTCTTTCGTACACAAACAGGCTGGGGCCAAGCGCTCTAGCGGCTGCCCACGGCCCCAGTGCTCAGCGTTAGGTGATGGGGAGCTCTGCCCTTCTGGGGGACCTGTGGCCAGGAGGGCCACACCAGAGGTCAGGCTCCCTGGGACCATCTAGCACCGCAGCCAGCTGGGGCTTGCGCTTCTCCCCAGCAGTTTGGGATCAGCATCAGCTCTTGCAGCAACGCAGAGGTCTCTGCTCTGACTTTATGCCATACATGACACAGCAGGCGGTATCTCTGGGAGCCACCAATGCCTCTCACTATGCAACGCTTCCAGATGCTCTCCTGCTGGCTGGGATTTGGCTGGCATGTGACAAGGAGGCACTAAATGGTGAAAGGTCTGAGGCTGGTCTCCTTTCTCTAAGCTGGATTCTGGTGTACCCCGTGCCCAGCTCAAACAAGCTGCTTACTGTCACCAGAGACCCAGCCAGGCCCCAGCAAGGCAGGTGACACTGTGCAAAATGGTCTCCAGCCATTCATTGTGCCTGTCTGGAAGGGTATGCTCTGATGCTAGCTACAAAACCTGGAAATGATCCAGGAGGTCTTTAATTTTATTTTGATAAACCTTGAAATGGAGTTCAAGGGATTTCTTAGCTGGCATCAGGGTTGATATAGACACAGGGGCAGCTCCTGCTGTGGACATATGTATGGTGGGTAAACCCAAAGCCATGTCCCTCTGCAGACAGTGTTTCCTCAATTACTGCCCCCAAAACACTGCTGCATTTGCCCTTGTCTTTACAATGAGGATTAATAACAGTAACAGACCAGCAATTCTGGGGTACACTGAGGTCATCTCTGGGAGCCAAACACCCCAGCAAGGAGACAGCCTCACCCACAGGCACCAGGGTGCTTCTCCTGCAGTAAGACAGGGCTGTTGGATCCCACTGGGGACCAGGTGAAGGGGAAGGACATGGGTATGGCCCATGCTGGCCCTGGCTGCTAAGCACTGAAATTCCCTCATGGTTTCTCACTGCTGGAGAGGGAATAGCTGCCTGAGGCTTTGAAATGGGGGCAGCAATGAGTGCTGCCTCTCCATGCGACCCTGCCAGCTCCCCCCGACTCCCGCTGTGGGCCGAGGACAGAGGATGCTCTGAAGAATCCCTGAAAACAAGGCTTTTGCCTCTAAATTGGGCCTGGAGTGAGAAGCGCTCAGCCCAAAAAGGAAGCATCTCCTGGGCTGGTTTCGTCAGCCACGCTGGGGAAGCGGTGGGTGAGGCGGCAGCCCCAGATAACCTTCCGTCCACCCACCTCCATGATGCAGAGCCAAGGGGAGGAGGGAGATGACTAAAGGCAGAGAGGAACAGAAAAACGAGTGATGCGTCTTCCCCTGCGATGCTGGCCACGTGGCGAGGCCGAGCAACCCGGCACGTCAGCGAGGAGGAGGCAAGGTGTGCCACGGAATGCTGCAGCCATCCCCCCGCCCCAGCCATCCCCACTCAGCAGGGCTGTGCCCACCTCTTGGGGTAAATCTTGGGCCAGCTTCTCCCACTCCTTTGCCATCCTTCCATCCCTGCCACTCCCTGGGCACCAGAGGAAAGCCCTCCCTGCCCTGTGTGGTGCTGGCTCACCCCTGGATAAGCCTCATCCATGGGAGGAGCTAATTTTAGCCATGGCCAGTGTGGTGCACACCATCAGCTCTGTGTTGCCAACAGACAAGAAAAGGCTTGAGCAGCAACTCCCCCCATTGTGGTCTGGTTTACCAGAAAACTGTCCTTGCTGCTTAGCATCTCCGGGCTGTGTACCTGGGAGTGATGGGGAGTCCAGTGATGGAGACGCATCGGTCCCCCATGCCCGGCTGTGGGGTGCACCTGCCCACGTGCCTGCATGAGCAGAGCTTCCTGCACCTCCATTTTCCGGCAAAGGCAGTGACAAAGAGCCTCCCTCCCAGCTCTGTGCTGGTGGGTTTGTGGGGGCGAGGGTGTGAATGAGGGAGGCGAGGGAGAAGCCCCTCCTCCCTCCCTTCTGGAGGGGTCTGCAGGGGTGGGGGGGGCAGCAAGCCCACCTCTCCCTGTGCTGTGGGGGCCATGCAGGGAAGGCAAGCGTGACACCCCCAGAAGCCTCTGGAGAGAGCGGGGAGCAGAGACCAACCTCTCCCATCAGCTGGCGTGGGGATGCAAGGGGTGCCGGCTGCACCGGTGGGAGGGCGAGTGGGAAGAAGCAGCAAAGGCTGCTGGCGGGTGAGTAAAGAGCACTTACCCTTTCCAAGACGATCTCCTCATATTTGAACATCCCATCACTGCCGTTCACCTGGGGAGAGGGAGACAGCAGGTTACGGCTCTGTGCCAGTCCCAGGGGGATTTGCTTTTCCCCTCTGATAGCTAAATATTGAGAATGCAACCTAAAAGCTGCTGAAAAAAACTTAAACGCAATCGCTCAAGCCTGCCCTGAAATTAAACCGTGCACTGCTTTGCTTTTCTTTCTGGGCATGAGCCAAAGCCCACTGACTTTAATGCACTTCAGCGCAAAGCCTTTATTCTCCCGGCTCATTTCTTCAGCCATGAAAAGGAACACAACCAAAGGCACAAAAAGAAATAATGCTTTTGTTACACAGCATGTAATTAACCTTGGGAATTCACTGCTGCAGGAAGGGGTCGGTCCATTTAAAGCAAAAAAAAATGTCTGTACATAATAACATAATAAACACCTTTAGCAGCTTATATCTTTTAAATCTTTTAGTAGCATGACTGTGTTAACAGGGAATTCAGAATAATGTATTCTACCAAATTAGTTGGGTGCATAGGAAACGAGGTGCGAGTGTGGGCCACAGTAAGAGGGGAAAACATTGTGATGCCCTTATATAAAAAAAAATGGTGTAGCCTGTCTCAATGCTGTAAACCATACTGATCCCCATGCTTAAAAATCTCCCATACCCAGAGTGTCAAAACAGGGCTCTGGGAAACATAATAGCCTGAAACAAAAGGGCTGCAACTGTAGGCTCAAAAATAAGAAAAGGTAAATGTACAGGTCAAAAACTTCCATTTTCCCCATAAGCAACAAGGCACAGGAAAATCAGGCAGCAGTTTCACTCCAGGTCATCAGGATCAGGCCATAAACAGCTGCCAAGGTCTAAAATTTAGCAAGATTTGCAAAGCAATTGGATATTGAAACATCCAGAGCTGTTACACTCAACAGCAACAGTTTTAGAGAGGACTGGACTCAACCTACAATTTGAGTCACTCTGGGAAACAAGGGACAGGATGCAGCAAGGTCTGCACGGCATGGCAGAGGCAGCGGGACCAGGGCGGCGGGGCTCAGCAGGCAAACGCCTCTCCCATCATGCAGCCCTGCCTCTGCCTGCGGCCCCTGGACAACATGCAGGGCTCCTCATGTGGATTTTACATCCACCATTAATTGGTGGCTTGTGGACTGTATGGAGCCACTTTCTGTACACACTCCGTAACCCAAACTGGAGCTGCTGTGGCTTTGTTTGGACACAGGTCCCCTTCTCTGGCACCAGCGTGCCGGTTGTGTCCTGCTTGCCCAGCTCCCTGCTATCCGCTCCTGTGGAGGCACAGCCCAGCCATCCTGCAAAACCCCACAGTGCTGGGTTGTTAGATGTAGAGGACAGCAAACATCATTTATGCTAAAGCCATCATCTGACACCATGGAAGGAAACTCAGTGAGATAGCTGTAAGGCCCTATTTATAGGTAGGAAGAGGAAACAGGAGTTTTTCTAAGTGGGAATAATCACGTGCCCGGGTGGAAGAGCAGTTCTGCATGCCAGGATCTAGGATGGGGCTGTGCCACCTGTGACACTCACATCCTTACCCCCTGCCTGGTTCAGCCCTGGTGAGGCCAAAGCAATCCCACACCCTGTTGTGGGTACCGTGCTTCAAGAAGGATGATGTTGGGGAGAGTCCGGAGTGGAGAGACAGGATGGAGCCTCCAGGGAACACAGGCTGAGAGGGTTGTCCCTCCTCAGATGTGCTCCGTGCCTGGTGCCTCTCAACCGTGGGAAGATTTCAGGGCACATTTTGGGGTTGAGACATCCAGATGCTCTAATATTAGGATGCTCTGATCCTCCCAGCACATTGGGAAAGGCTTTGGTCAGCTCTTGAACAGGACCCCTCTGCAGAAAAGCACCAGGAGTGGTGGGATTAACCCACAGCAGGATCCCCGACAGCCTTGTCGGGACAGGGACATGTGGCTGATGCCACCTCCTGCCACAGCACCGCCCTGGGCCATGCTCCCACAGGCAGGTGGGGCATCGCTTCCCTCACCACAGGCTCCCCCTCTGCTACGGATCGCCCTTCCCTCTTCGTGTCCTACCATACTGACTAATCCTGAGGGGAGCCGGCTTACTGGCCCATGCCGCCCTCGCAGCCTCCCTCGCCACAGCCTCCGGGCTCATCTCGTCTCCGCAGTTGGTAGCCTGGTGCGTGGGGCGCGGCGTCGCCTCTCCCCGGCTTTCCAGCAACTCGGATTCCTGGCACCCTTCGCTACTACACACATTGTCCTCTCTGCTTTGGCATTCAACACAGTTGCCACACAGCCAGCCATATGCACACCCACGGCTGCAGAGGAACAGCACATACATACCTACAGGATGGGGATGTGCAGAAAACTTTGACAATCTGTGAGCCGCGGAGAGAGCCAGCAGCGCGCGAGACCCGCCAAGCAAGCGGCCGCTGCTTGCAAGCACCCGGGGCTCAGAGACACCCTGGCATGCAACCCCATCAGGCACCCTGCTGCCAGGCAGGTGAGTTTGGGGTATCCCTGCTCTGCAAATCTCAGGGCTGCCAATGCTGAGCAGTGTTTTGCATTGCTCCCTGAAAGCAAGCGGTGTTGGTTTGCGCCCAGCGTGGTGTGTGCTGGGAGCAGCCTGCTCCGGCCTTGCATGCTGGGGTCAGCCAGGCCTGACCATGAAGTTTTAGATCTGATTATATTTCCAAAATCCATGCAACAGAAAGCCAGTTAATCGCATAAGGAAGCCAAATGGAGAACTTAATATATACCATGTAACCAAGGGAACAAGCCAACAAAGCAAACATTCCAGCGTCGGAAAATTGAATACCAGTCACTCACTGACGGCAAAACCTCCCCATGGCACCCACTGGAGCTGCTGTGACCTGGCTTTGCTGCAGGCTGTTCCCACTCTCCTTCACCAGTGCCCTGTGCTCCTCCCCAGCTCCTGTTTGGGACCATCTCAGTGCTACGGGCTTGGTGGGGAGATGCCTGGGTCCACTGCACCTGGGCAAGGAGAGCACACCCCACCCTGCTCCCGCCTCTCCATGTAATGCCTGCAGAGCCAATGGGGGTGTCGGGCGTTAATTAGCTGTTCCCAGCTTATCCTGATCCTAAGCACTGTCTGATTTCTCATGGAAAAGAGTAAGGGTATTTTTTTTCCAAGCCCTTCCCACACAATAAGCTCACCTGAGAGCTCAGGAAGAGGCCCCCTTCACTGGCCTTCACTTCCTTTTCGTGTTTTGAGCAGCAAGGAAATAGTTAGCGATGATGACATTTAAATCATCAACAGAAGGCTGCAGAGTTAACACTCATTTGATAAACAGAAGAGCACACACCTTCCAGAGCTACTGCAAGCTGTCTGCCGGCTCCGCCGGCCAACACCACACCAGCGCACGTGGAACGCACTTTGCAATTTGCTAGAGAGTCAGGATTTGGGGTTTTTGAATTTTTTAAAATAAAAAAAGGGGGGCAATTTAGGAGACTAAGATGGGGTTCCTCAAACTCAACCCAAATAGCCCACCAGACTGCAAGAGGAACTAACCTACAGGAAGGATAATACTGCCTGCAGCCACTTTTGGAGGAGTATCTAGGACATATCTTGTGGTTAGGACGCGATGGGGACAGGCACTGGGACTTGGTGGTGGAGCAGCCGTGTACCGACATAATGAAAAGAGTGAAGGCTGGAGAGTCAGCCCTCGGCGGTGCCAGCCGGACCTGGGGGACGAGGGCGCCTGGCGATGCCCCACACCTGCCCCAGCAAGGGGAAAGGAGAGCAGCCCCTGCTGGGGCAGCGGGTGTGATGGGCACCTCCCCGCTGGCACAGGCACGGGTAGTGCTGGCAAGTGAGAGCTGTCTCTGCCTGCACATGGCAGGGGGCCCAGAGAAAATAGGTCAAGAGCTCCCTCCCTTCACCTCCCTGCATCCACGCTGTCTTGACGCAGCACCAAGACCTACCAACTCGCTTCCAGCTAACCCCTGGCCTCAACCCCCTTGCATGAGTTGCCCACGGTGTTGGCCCTGTGCTCAGAGTAAATAAATGCCGTATTTCTGGCCAGCCTTTTGCCAGAGGGTCACAGAGATGAGTCTGCTGAGCTTGGGCAGAGGGAAGGGGTTTGAAGCCTGACAGCCCCAGCACACAGCTGGGAGGGCTCCGCAGCCGCGCCATCTGTGGGAACTGGCAGTGGGACATTCCACCACCAGCGCTTGGGACCAAAGTGTGAGGGTGGCAGTTTAGTTTTGATTTTTTCTGGTTTTTTTCAGGCTTAAAAGCAAGTTTTGCCCTGCTCAAAGGCACTGGACCATGGTGGCCATCTCTGCTGCACTCCACCAGTGACCGTGGCTGGGGCCCCTGGCAGCAGAGTCAGCGCTGCACAAGGAGGTTGCCTCTGTGCTCACTGGTGGCAGAGCCCGGAGCTCCCATGGTGCTCACTGACCAGGATCAGGCCTGGGAAGCACTTGGCTTCCTCAGACCTGGCTTCTAGAGGCTGAGGAGGTGGTGGCACCTCACTGCCAGGCAGTGGGGCACCAAAGGAAGGCTCCAAGGACCCAGGCTATGAAATCTTCAACTCCTCAAGGACTTTGGAGTGACCTACCCTGCTCACTTTGTGACTGCCTGGCAGCAGTCACCTGTGCCCTGGACAGCAAGAAGTTGTTTCAGCTTCAGAGACACAGCTCTGAAACGCAGAGACCCCATCTGCCATGGGAACTGTGCTTTGGATGCTCCATCTCCCTGCTATGGACCTGCTGGGCAAAATAGACCAAGGGGTGAAACTGTGAGGAACAACCTGGAGCTGGCATGGGTAATCCCCCCTGGCTCCTGTCCTTACCTTTCAAGGAATGCTTTTACTACAGCAGGAATTTTATAAGGATTTATTTGGGGTTTTACACCCTGGGGGTGCTGGGCTCTGCACAAGCTGCAGGCAGCAGAGCTGAGCCCCGGCCCCGGTGGTGAGTGGGACCTGGTGCTGCAGCTTGTACTTTACAGTGCTGCTGGTGCCACATGCTCTTGGGGATGGAGGTGGGTGGACAGAGGGATTGAAATGTGGAGAAGACTTCTTGATAAACAGCCGGGGCCAAATTCAGCCCAGCAGCTAGTCCAATGCAATCAATGGAGCTAGAACAGGAAGGAACCAGACTACATCCATCTGTTTATCATTAAGGAAAGCATTGAATAGTTAAGTAATTAAAGACTGGAAGATGTGACTTTAACCCTTCCAAATACATACTGTACCAACAGGCTTCAGCTTTCAGGTTTGTAAAAAACCATGCTTCCAGATTTGCCATTTTGGTGTGCTCTTCTGCAGCAAGCCCTGGTGTGGCTCCTTTGCTGACCTGGGAAACGGCCAAATGGGAGGTTTTGGGGTGTTTTCCCTGGAGCCTGAGGAGCCCAGCACCCCAGAGAAGGAAAGGATGGAGCAGGGCTCGTTTCTGTGCTGGTATGATATGAAGTAGAAGGCAAGAGGGTTTCCAGGCTGGAGGCTGAGAGGAACCAAAGTCAGGTGTCTCCCCTGCCCTGGGCACGGGCCCCTCCGGGCACCCCGCTGGTGGCACATGCCTGGGCATGGGGCTGGTGGTCCCTGCTCCGCCCAGCAGACAACAGCCACAACCTGCGCCTTCCTTTTGACCACCACAGGACAGTTCCCCCCTGGCATGTGCTGCTGGGGTTGGTGGATGGATAGACTGCCATCCCCAGGGTGATGCTGGTGCCTGCCAGGGGTGCAAAGCACCCCACAAAACCCAGCCAAACCCACCCCAGGGGCTGCAGGAAGGCATCTCCCACCCAGCACAGCAAGAAGGAGCTGTAGCCAAGGCACAGGGAGAAGGGGCAGATGGGGATGTGGAGCTAACGAGGTGGAAGGAAAGGGGCGGGAGGGATATGGAGTTAATGAGATGGGGTAGGGGGAGGCAGCCAGGAGGGCAGGAAAGTGTCATGCACTGTAATGGGAGGAGGCGGCCGCTGGCCCCATGGGCGGGCTCCCTGCTGCTGGCTTCTGCAGGGCTTGGGAGCCTGCCTGGGGTAACAGAGCCTGTCCTTGGCCCTTGGGCTCACCTCTCACTGCCCTTGGGCACACAGGCAGGGAGGAGTGACAGGCACGGCTGGAGCCTGGCGAAGGATGTGGCGCTGGTGGCTGCAATGGTGAGCAGGCAGTGTTCCTCCAAGGGAGGGAGGGTACAAAACAGATGTGAAAGCAGACTTTCTATCCAGGAATACCTCCCTGCCCTGCCCACAGCACACCCCTCACTTGCCTCAGTCCAACTTTGCGGTGTGTCCTTCCCTTCCAGGAGACATCGCCCTTTTTCCAGTTCCCTGTAGAACGGCACCAGGCAGGTGAGTGCAGAGAGCAGGCTGCAACATGGCACTGCCTTGCAGCTGGGGTGCCCAGCACACTGCGAGAAGCCTCCAACCCCACAAACACCCTGCCATGCCATGCATTTGGAGAAGGAAACCTTTGGGGACAGCAACTGTCTTCTGCCACGTTCATACAAGGCTGCTGGACCCAGGACCACCACACAGAGAGGCACCACCGCCTTCCTCCCCAGTGCCAGGTTGCTTTGGTTCAGCACCCAAGGCATCATTAAACCGTACAGCCAGGGTGGCAGAGGTCTCAGCTGGTCTTCCCTTCCTTTTCATAGCTCTGCTCAACCAGCCCAGCACAGCTCTGATGCACACTGACCCCACCACAGGCTGTGGGCTGAGATCTAAGGATGGTTCAACCACCAGAAGTCACCTGCAGCCCTCCACCATGACTCCAAAGACAAACCAACCCCACCTCTGAGTCCTGGTGCCACTTCATTAATGTGTAAGGCAGCTGAAATTTGCTGCATCAGAAGAAAACCAGGTGCAAAGCACCCAGCCCTGGCAAGCTGTCAACTGAGCTCCCTTTGGGGGAAAAAAAGGGGAGCACCCCACAAGCACAGAGCCAGTGCTGCAGAAATCAACGCTGGCCACCCTGCTCCGTCCATCCCCCCCAGCAGGAATGATTTGCAAATGTTCTGGGAAGGGATGCAGCCGTGCGCAAACCCCCTCTGCAACAAACCAAGGAGGATTAGCTTTATACTACACCAAGAGTGCCAAATGCACTGTGGCTGCAAACACAGTTACCAAGCACTGCTCAGCTGCTGGCAGCCTTCACTGGGAGAGGAGCAGCATCTGATGGGTCCTGCTGCCCTGAGGACCAGCAGGTGCAATGCCAGCAAGCGCCTGGAGAGCCCTGCCTCCCTCCTGAGGGGCCACGGCTGCCAAAGGGGGCTGAGGCAGCGCAGGAAGGTAAGGGATGCCCCAGCAGAGCCTCACAGCCACTCTGCATGGGACACTGAGGAAATGGCTGTGTTGGTAATGCTGAACGCAGACAGCCCAGCTCCCCTGCTCCTCTGATGCCTGCTTACCCCACAGTGTGCCCCTCTGAGTGCCTCCTGCCTTGTACCCTTCCTGTGCTGGAGTCCCCACCATCACTTGCTGCTAGCCTTGGCTCTGTTCGGCATCACCCAGCCCCAGTGAGGTTTGGGGGCGAGATGTGCTGTGGGGACATGGCACAGGAATCGGGCTCCTCTGCCACCTCACCAGGGACCTTCTTGGGCTGGAGGAGCCTCTCCTGCGCTGCCAGGCAGGGAAAATGCACCACTTGTTCAAAGGAAGCAAAACAAAACCAGGAGACTTACAGAGAGCCCTTGTTCCAGCGAGTCTGTGTTCACGATAATGGGAGCAGGGTTGGCCTGTGAGGAGACAAAAGTGGGATGTCACCAAGTTAAGCAATGAACCCAGCCCTTCGTGGTGCACTGTCTCTCCCCTGGCTATGCCACCACAGACCCTCGGGGCCAGGCAGAAGAGAGTAATTCGGGAAGGGCTCTGCTTTTGTCCCTCCTCCAGGTGCACAACAGCCCTAGGACAGGAGCAGGGCCACAGCATGGCTCTTGGCATTGGTCCCCTCCTCAGGCCTGGTGTGTCCCAAACACCCCATGGCCTCAGCTACTGGGAAGGAGACAGGGAAGGCGGAAACTCTCCCAGCCTCGGGCCAGAATTCCACCAGCACCAAAATTTACTTGCAATTCGCATTACTGAGGGGTTAGGAAATAGAAGGAGGGATATATTGCCAGCAGGCCAGCCCTGAGGCCTTCAGGCACACTCCAGTAGCTGCTGCTGCCCCTCCTGAGCATGGGGCCACCACGCCCCGGGGGAGGTGGCAGCGTTTGATCCCTCATCCTCGTTACCCCTGGGGTAAACCCTCTGCTCGGCAGCCTCAGCTTATCCCCCGCACCACCACAAGTATCCCCCCTCTCTTGCAGGGCCCCCCCTAAACCTCTCTCCGGGTGCCCCCCCTCCTGGACTGCCTTCTGCCCATTACCTCGTTGCACACGGTAGGAGGGACACACACGCAGAGGGCAAGCGCAGGCAGGACGAGGCCCTAAAGGGAGGGAGGCTCTCCCGGGAGAAGCTGCAGCGCCGGTGGCCGAAGGGCCGGGGGCGGCCGGGGGCCCCGAACGCCGCCCGCGGGGTCCCGCCGCGCCGGAGCTGTCCAGCGCCGCAACCTCCTGAAGGCGCGGTGCCCCGCGGAGCGCGCAGCGCAGCCCCTGCCCCCGGGAGCAACCCCTGCGGGCGCGGCTGCTGGGGCAAGGCACCCGGGGAAGGCGTTTGTCTCTGAGCGGGAGCGTGAGGGAGAAGCGGCAAAGAGTGAGAAATTTCAGATTAATTACAAGGCCGACGTTCCTCGCCCGCACGTGGCAGCGAGTGGCGCAAAACCTGGAAGGTCAGGGGCGAGTCGGGATTTGCATCATCGTTCCAAGGCTCGTGTGGAGAACAACAGCCAGAGCGAGACAGGGAAACGCTAAGAGACACGAACTACAAGGGGAGGTGAACGGGTGAACGCTCCGCCTTAGGGCATCAGAAACATCAGTCAGGGTCAGGAGCAAGCAAGTCAAGGTGTGGGCTGGTGCAGCAATTAACAGGAACCACTGTCTGTCCAGTAACGCGGGTGGTTGGATTGCACAGCCCAATGGCCTCTGTGAGGCTGTGATATCTTCACAGGAGCAGGCTACCTCCTCATTGCCCTCCTCTGGGTTTATATGCCCCCGACAGAAACCAACCTCCTCTCATAACCCAGCATGGCAGTCCCTACCATCTCCTGTTTCAGTTGATCGTATTTCTTGACTTTCCACTCTCCTCATTTTGTAGGTGGGAGAGTTAGGGGTCAACCGGATTATGGTTTAAATCTTGCCCTGAAATGTTCTGCTCTCCTATGGATGGAGCAGGAGGTAGTTAATTTGATTTATTCAGCTGCTTTCTGATCTTTCCTGCAGCTGTAACTATTGGTTACAAAACCCTAGTTTTTATGGCAATTAATTCTCTAGCTCAGGCAAATATGACCACTTCCAAGCACTCCTGCCAAACCCCTCCCCCCCACATAAGAGAATTGCAATTTTCAGGTCCAGTGTCTTGGGATCTCCATAGCCCAGAAGCAATGTTAAGCTGGGAATATCCCCTCTCTGGCAGTACACAGCCCTTGTATTTAATCCAGATAATTTGTGAGATAGCATATATTAAACCTGGCACTGGCTTTTATTAGTCCCCAGTGCAATTCTAGGAAGGGATTCCACATTTCAAGGCAAAAAAGAAGCACTTCTACTGCCAGCAATTAACAAACGATGGATGTTTGAACCTTGATGTGCCAGAGGCCAGCTGTTATTAGATGAGTTTCCAGGAAGGATGCAGAAGAGGCAGCCTAAGTGAATGTAGCCCATCACGTGCCCCATGATTTATGACTTGAATTCAACCCCAGAAATGATGCTTTGGATCCCTCCCAGGGAGAAGTGCTGTGTATGATAATGTTATAGAGGTTTTTGCAGGTCCAGCCTGAGTCCTCCACTGAGCCCCACTGCAGTCTCTTTGTTGAATTACTAATAGCCCACAAATCACGCATCACATTGCCTCGCTCACACAGTGGTGAGGCCTAAGGACATATTTTGTCTAGCCTGCTCACTGCGCACTGAGCATCCTTCGCAGCCATTCCACACTAGTGATTTTTACATCTCAAAATACTGCTAGGAGCACAATTTCCCACTCAGGCTCCAGATGAGACCCAAGAGATGCCGAATGTGAGTGGCTGCTTAAAACAAAGTCACACATGGTCAGGAGGAATTCAGACCAGGAAATCCCCGCTTGCCTCCTGTGGCCAACTATTCCAGCTACTACAAGAAATGTGTTTGGACATTAGCTCCGACTTCCACTTGCAAACATTCCAACATTTGCACCTTGCCTGTTCTACTGCAGAGTCATACAAGATCTAAGACTCAGAAATAAGCAGAGGGCCTGAAAATGAAAAGCCTCTGCTTCCCTCTGTCAGGCAGGTACATGTACCAAGCCCTCTGCTAGCCAAGGGAGAAGAGAGAACATCATCATTTTTTGCTGGGCAGCAGAAACATGCTGGTGAATTAACCATGCCCTCAATTCTATAGGGAACAGTAAGTAATTTATGCCCTAAGGAGCAAGGGGTTGCTGCATGCATGGAGGAGAAGGAACAGGGCTGTGCATTCAGGTCACATTCAATGGAGGCTGTCAGATCTCTTCCATCTAAGCTGCTTCATCACACTATTGTTATTTACCAAGCCCTGTTTGTGCTTGAGGGGTTTACAAATGGAAAGAGAAGAGGTCCAAGCCCTACGGTGCTCATCCTATGGCAGCAGGACCACCAAAGCCCAGCAGAGCTGGAGGTGTCCTGAACTCTCTCCATCAGGCAGAGGCGCAAGGGGCTGCACAGATCCTTGGGCTCAGCGGCTGGAGGCTGCAGGGAAGGTAGGACTCAAGGAGGACCTTGGGGAGTGAGGGGGGTTGCTGCACACATGCAGAGATTGATCTAGGCACAAAGCCAGCGAGGCAGAGGACAGCTGTTGGGAAAATCTGGGCAGCAACAGGAGTCAAAGGAAATAGCGGTGAAGGGGGATGAGGTTTGAAGGTCAGGATTCAAGAGCTCTCTGGTCTCACAGGGGCTGAGAGAAGCAGAGCCTCGCATTCCCCTGTGTTGGGGCACCAGTGCTCACGCACTACACGACGGTCCCAGTGGCAGCCACAGCCCAGGTGCTAAAGGAGAGGGCAGCAACCTGCCCCATGCAGTCCCCAGTGAGGGCCTGGCTCCCTGCAGGGGCCTGAGGAGAGCCTAGAGCCCGTCTGGGGGCAACTGCCTCCGAGGCTAAAGCCAGAAGGAGGCTGCGGGTCTGCACATAGGGCAGGAGGGACGTCTCCTCCCCAACAGCCCGCAGCCCCCCCCGGCCTGGAGCAATTCCCCTGCAGCATGTGCAGGGAGCAGCAAAACAGCCAGCAGCACTCAGACACACCTCAGGTGTAGGATGTGGCCTTTCAGAAACACCTTTAGATATCACCTCTGGGCAGTCATCTGAGAGGCACTGCCACCATTTGGGCTGTATTTCTAGTGGGTGACTGGCCTCAGCAGCCCAGGGGCACTAACACAGTCACCTGGGGGCAGCCAAGCCCCAGACATCTATAGGTATCACCCTTCACCTCCATTTCTGTTGTCATCTGCTGGGCCAAAGGTAGGAATTGCAAAACATGACGATTTTCCAAAACTTCCAACCAAAAGAAAAGCTGCAATTAAATGCAAACAGAGGAGGTTTGTTAGCTTGCTTCTGAGCTTCGTTAGCTAGCCTTGCCCTGTGGCCTTTCCCCAAGGACTGCTCTCAAGGCTGGCACACGGGAGCTGAGTGGGGAGACTCTGAACTGAAAGTTCAAGATATTCTCTCCAGAGCTGAATTCCTGAAGCTTTGCAACAGCTCCACATCTTCCACAGAGTCAGCATGGGGGCCAGCCCACAGAGGTCAGGAATTAGGTACCTCCTCCAGACAGAATAAATGCGCTGCAGACATCTCAGGCCAATGGCAACAGGATTGAGCCCACATATAAACCCACTTGCATCTTAACTAGCAACAGGACTCAAACAGGAGCCTCCAGACCTGACAAATACCAGGCCTAACACACAGAACTGGTCTCCGCAGGAGGCCAGTGTGCCCTATGTGTCATGGAGTGAGGGATGCGCAGGACAGGTTGACTATTTGTGACTCTGGACTAGCGCATGAGAAGCAAAGTACTAACTTAACTCCATTGTTTCTGCAACTTTCCCAGATTGGATCAGAGTGAAAATTCAATTTGCCTTTTAATAACCTTTGCTTTGTACCGTCCAAGATATAATAGTAACACTCAAAAGGAAATGGCTCTGGAAATAAGTGAAATTTAGTCTTTACATCCTTTTAAAAGCTCTCAGGGCCAGAGGCCAAGCAGGGAGATGCCCAACAGAAGCATCTAAATAGGGTGGACACAGTGGGCTGCTTGTAGCCTGGCTCCATCTGCTTTGATTTTTTTTTTTTTTTTAAGAGTGTTAAACTGTGGAGAAAGCTGTGCATTTACAGCTATGAAAGCAGCTGCTCTGTGGCAGGACCCCACAGTGCTGGGTGCTAGCTGTGAACATGCAGGTACCAGCTCAGGGACGCCGAGGAGTGGTGCAATGCTACCGTGGCAGCGGTGTCGGCTGCAGGATGCCTGGGCACCAACAGGGTCCCACTGACGGGGCAGGGAGTGGGTTTGCACCAAGCCAATGATTTAATTTCACAGGAATGAGCCCAGGTCCTGCCAGCGTAGCACACACGGCAAGCCTGTGCTCACCGCCGCTCACCCTGATAAGCACCGACACGCTCATCTGCTTCACACCAGA